CCCCAAAACCCCAAAACCCCAAAACCCCAGACATATAATATAGAGAAAATACAATGCATTAAATAATTAAAATATATGAGGAAAATTATCAGATAAATAGCATATGATTAGGAGTTGTAGCATCTCTTTCCCTGGACTTAGCCTTATTTTTTGAACTATTTTTCTTTTTTTATTTAAATCTGGTCTTCTCTGGTTGCTATTGCTACTTTTATTCAGTATTAGATTTAATATTTTACTCTTCAAGATAAGTTTTATAGTCTTATGACTAAGCTAATATTTCTTCTTGATTATCCTAACGGATTCTACTACTTTTAATACCTTTCTATTGACTTTTAGCTCTTAACTTAGTAGATCCATTCCAAAGATTGTAACAATTATCACTACTCTATCTGCCTTTAATATCATCCTCTTCATTATGTATAGTTATACTGCTATTATTATTATGAATATTAACCTCACCTAATGATATATCATCATTAAGTCTGCTTCTGGCTCTGCTATCAACCTAGGTATGATAGTTGATAATCGGCATTTTCTTAAATAAGTACCTAATTTGCTAGCTTTAAATCAGAGCCTTATTCTCTCCACCTCTTTATAAGCTACCATGCATAATATCTCTTGAGTTATATTTTGCTTAATAGTTCATGAGAAACTGCCTGAAGTTATGCTATCTTAGTCTACTCTAAATCTTGCAATTCATGCTTGTGAGTTGGTCGATGTTATAATCACCAGGACCTGGAGAATACTTGATAGGCTTTAGTGTTGATTTTATGTCCAAACCAAAGCCAATATTATTATATCTTTAGGGCTTTACATTGTCGTCATTAACATTATAATTATCAGGGGCTGGCACCTGCTGACTTCTCTAAATCTCTAAATAAAAGTTATGCAATCAAGTATTATACCTTCTTGGAATAAGTCATGTTCATAAGCTCCAATTGTATAAGCAGGCACTCTACTTTTAATAATTCTCTGATTAGGGGAATGCGATGTAGCATTAACATTGTACTTAGAATGATCAAATACCTTGATATTACTTTAAATGTCGCATGTTCTTTTAAACTTCTCATAGGGTTCACCAAACTGGCATTTATTTGGCTTATTTTTACTTTGCTCAATTAGGGATTTAAAATTGGACTTGTAATAGTAGGAATTAGGTGAAGGTGATTCTTTATTAATCTCCATATTCCAAAGAGGTCTCCCCTTTTGATCATATTTGAGACTGTGTTGATAATGAACACCCTAGGTTGATAATATGTTAGGATTGTGATCTTGAATAAAGCTATTCGCCATCAATGCCTTTGACCTTGAGGATTTCTAAAGCATACCCTAAATTTAATGTCGATATTTTACCTTATCTTGAGCATTTAATGTAGAAGCAAGAGTTGAAAATTAGGCATGATGACTGCCTCTTTGCTAAAGTTTGAATCTGTCATCATTGGCGACAATCGAGATAGGTCTAACGCTGTTCCTCAATGTGTTAGTCGACTCAAACTCATAATGCCCTCATAAATTCTAAACATACTATAAAAGTCATTAGGATACAAGTTGAAATAAAAGTTATTACATTAGTTCAAGTATTGAGTTAGGTCAAAGGTCTTTAGTCTGAGAATGTACTTTTCTAGTTTGTACTTTTTTGCTAATACATTGGAGATGACTCCATTCCGATAAATAATTTTGATTAAAAAGTTAATATATTTTAGTAATAATTTATAAAGAATACAAATGAACAAAGAGAATAATATTAGCACAGCAGCTGAAAAACACAGAAATTAATCTAATAGCAATCTTCAGGAAGATTAAGCAGGGTCAATACCAGGGTAAAATCTAATCAAGCCAGAAACTTATGAGGATTTGGAGAATGAACGTCTGATATTCAGAGCTGGTCTAAAGAAGACTTTTATGGAGCGATTTCAGAATTCAGAGTTAGAATCTCATTATCGTCAATCTATGATCGGATCTGTCATTATGTCCTTAGCTCAACCTGCTCAGTCTAATGTTGGAGATATTCAAGATCTGAGGAACAGCTAATTCTATCGTAAAACTGGCAATAGCTAGAACTTTTTGAGAAAGTATACCAGAGGTAAAAGCACAGTTAGTGGGCGAAACATCATCGAGATAGTCTAGAGCAATACTATAAATACTCCAGAGTAGCTGAGAAGTGAAGAATATGACAAAGAAATCAAAATTGGTCCTACTGGGATACACATAACAGAGCAAGAAGATGAGGATGATGATGGAGACTCATCCGATAAGCGTATTGTTATCAAAGCGATCAGAGATGACAATTTGAGGATGCTTATGAGCTTTAATTATAACTTGGAAGAACTTACTAGTTTGAGGTTCGAAAGAGAACTGAACATATTACAAACTGCTTGCTTCTACAATGCATTAACAATCATTACTTGGCTGAGAGACTTTTACAAAAATGATGAAGACTTTATGCAAGAAATAGTCGACTACCGAGACCCAATGGCTGGTAATCAGGCAATTCATTTAGCAGTGGTAAATGGGAATAAAACTGTCCTAGATATACTTGTAAATGATTTCAAAGCCAGTCCTCATGCTGTGACTGGCAAGGGCCTGACTGTGATACACTGCGCTGCTTAAAATGACAAGGGTTTATTCTCAATCCACTATTTTAAAAGACACTATGGAATTGAAATCGATAGAAAGGATAGTTTTCAATGCACACCTCTTCATTTCGCTGTCTTAAACAGGTAAATTAAAAGTGTGATGATTTAGGTAGTTTAAGATAGTGGAAAGCTTGATAGCTTTAGGAGCAAATCCTAACTCTTAGATTTAAGAAGGGTTAACATCAATGCATCTTGTTGTTACGAAATGCATAGACGAATCATCAGAATTCGATGAGTACAAAAGAATTCTGAAGGAATTGCTATTTAATGGTGCCTCCAGAGATATAATGGTACTATTTAAATAACCTTAACATTCTTTCTGGTTAGGACAAGGATGGTTTCACACCAATGATGGTACTTTAGGAAAGAGAGGACGAAATAGAGCCTGACTAATACAGGAGTTTGTAAACCATTCTTGTAAGTTCAATCCAAATAGCCTAATCTATATTATAGAAACCTTAGAGTGAATCAATATGCATTACAAGGCATAGACCTTTGAAGTAGGTGCAAAAGGATAGAATATTTATGCTAGCTACTTTGATATTCAACTTTATCAGCTTTTTCATTTTCTTGGGTTACTATCAAAAATTTATCACCCAATAAGATTTTGAAGGTATGTACAATTGCTATCCTTAAAGTATATGCAATCTATAGCTGGAGAATATGCGTATTTGAGTCTTGGCGTAGTAGGTATAATAAGCTTTATCTTCTCAGCTTTTTCATTCATGGCTTCAAGTTGTTTGAATCCAGGATATGTGAAATAGAAATTCGACTTATTGGTAACTACTCATTAGATATAATCTGATTTCATAGGAATTACTCGAAGTTGCAAATGATAAAGACATTGATTTGGAGAATTTCTGCTTCTATTGTTGCATTATAAAGTCAACTCGAACATTTCACTGCCATTATTGCAAGGCTTGCGTGGAGAAATTTGACCATCATTGTGTCTATATTAATAACTGCTTAGGCTATAGGAATCACAAATACTTCATGGTATTTTTAATTAGCATTCTGATATATTTCCTTTGCTCCTTTGTAACATGCCTACTTGAATTTATCATAGATGATGACTAAACTGAAGGCACATACTTGATTTTGGATTTGACTGCTCGCGGTTATATTATAATTATCAATTCGATTCAGATGTTCCCATTGATGTACTAAGTAAGAGAGTAATTCAGAAAGTTGTTGAGAGTAGAAGTTAAAGAATACTCATCTGAGACACTGCCAGCGGAAACTAATAATAATTTGAGCTAAAATGGAGATGAAATAAAAAACTAATTGAACTTGCAATCTTCAAAAACTAGCGTGCTGACCAACTAAAAGAATTCTAATTAGATGGAATTTCAACTTAAGCAGTCATTGCTATTAGAAGAATCAGATCCTTAAGTTAAAAGGGGATTACGCTTCAACATATCTCAACTTTTCAATTACAACAAACCAACATAGGAGTAATTAAGAGAATTTCTGTTTTCAGACTCAGACAGGTTTTCGACTTTTATGATGAAACACAAGTACAGTTAAAAAAACAGAAAATCTACTAAGAGAGTAGAAGGTGGGAAAGTTGAGACAGCCACTCAGTAGTCCTCTTGCAAGATAATACATGAAATCGAAGAATACCTAGACACTGATGAGCACCCTAAAAAGATTAACGCCTCTAATCCTGTGGTTTAATGAGCATGAATACTCTGTGAAAACATAGATCAAATATGAGTAGGAAATATAATCTTATTGAAAATCATTATGCTATAAATTATGCTAATAAACTTTGACAGATAAAAATTATCATTTTCTATAAATTATTTATTATTTTCTTCATTTAAATTGAATTTATATATAGAAATGGGGTTTTGGGGTTTTGGGGTTTTGGGG